TCAACACGGTCATCATCATCAACACGATCATCATCAACACGATCATCATCATCAAATAATCATATATCACAGGGAAGGCAGAGCATAACATATATTACTTTTTCTTAGCTCAACGTAAATCGACGTAAACCTCCTCACTTTAGAAAACTGCTTCTTAGCCTTCCCCCTACTACTTTAAAAATAGCTTTGCCGTCTCTGCACTGCACCAACACGATCACCATCACCGTTAACATATTCACCATGATCATCATCATGTATTATCATCATCAACACCATCATCTTCATCAGTCACCATCATCAACCCATCATCATCATCATCATCTTCACAAACATCACCGTCATCATCATCATCAGTCACCATCGTCACCACCACTGATCATCACCATCATCATCATCATTAGTTATCATCGTCACCACCACTGATCATCACCGTCATCATCGTCACCACCACCGCCACCACCATCATCATGTATCGTCATCATTACCATCTCTAATCATCACCATCATATAAATCACCGTGTCCGTTTCCCTTACCTGGCACGTGATCGTTTTTCAGTGTAGATTCTTATCATAAAGTTCCCAGACACCTCTGGTTCATACGTGGACGGTACCACCACATACCGTCCCTTCCCAAGATGCAGACGACTCATAATCTCACGAGCATTGATGAAGATGGAATCTCCTGCCTTCTTGAACACTGTGTGAACACGGTACTTGCGGTTTTCTTCCACCTAAAAATGCGAACAATTAGGTTAGCTAAGAATAATTTGATTAAAGTCAGGGTTCACATAATAATACTTTACTGTTTGTCTTTGAATTAGAATTTTTAAAACATCTTTACAAACGTTTCGATCCGTGACGCGGAGCCTATTTTCCTTTTGTTTTGGTTGAGTGAGAAAAATAGACTTTGCCAATGTAGGACGTTATACTTGTCGTGCCTGCGTGGCGTAACTTAGCAACGCTGTCATGATTTTGACAGCCGTTCTAATCAAACAACGTTTGGGGCCACGGTGTGTTACATTTGCTTATGCGCATACTACATGTACCCGGTTGAAACATAGTTTTAAAACTGTTTTCGTTCGTCCACGATTGTGGACGGCGGTGTATCAAAGGAAACGCTCTACATCGGCAGAGTCTCCCTCTTCCCCGCCAAAAAGAAGGGAGAGAAAGAGGAGAGACTTTGCTAGCAGGGAATTCTTCAGTGTGCCAAACAAACAGATCAAGTATAATCAGCTAAGCTAATGTTATCTATCCACTGTAAGTTCCTACCAATACCCCACATAGCTGGCAGAGGTTGAAATAACGATACATGGAATGATGGTGATGTTGACACATGATGATGATAATTTATTATATATTATAAAATAACTGTTATAAATTTCGCGTTCTCATTGGTTGGGAGCGCGTGCTTTATGAGAGCACACAGCACACGCGCGCACTTTCAGTTTCGTCATTCCTATCTAAAATAACAGTTTTTGTAATTTGTATTTTATAAAAGTAATAAGAATCTTGCTTGTTGTGCTGTGTGAAGTTATAAAGCACTCGGGGATTGGCAGAACACTCGAAAAGTGACGATAAGCACTCCGACACGCGTCGGGCTTCTTATTATATTTTTCTCGTGTTCTGCTAACTTAACCCCCGCGAGCTTTACACAGCACGCGCGCGCGTTTTCTATTTCTTAATGATGATGATACTTTATTATATATATGATGATGATGATGGTAATGATGGTGATGAGAATCATAGTGGTGACGATGATGACTGATGATGATGAGCATTGTAGTGATGGTGATGATTTTGGTGATGGTGTGGCGTGAATGATGGTGACGATGATCGTTTTTCTCTTCATATAACGGAACTCAAACTAAGACAAAGTATTGCGATGATGATGATGATGGTAATGATGATGGATGGCAGTGATCATGAAGAAGTTAACGATGATAATGATGATTATGGCGGTGATGATGAAGATGATGATGATACAGCCAGCTGATCTAAAATAAGGACGCAAAAATGAGATCTCTGGGGCGTCATGAAGCTTGACAAAATTGGTCAGCAAAATAAAACAAAACAAAACAAAAAAATTCTCACCATTGGAATAATAGCATAAAACTCATTAATTATTGTCAGACTGTTATGGAACACTTATTAGCAACATTCTATTTTCATTTGATGGCCTGTATACCATCATTTCAAGGAGGAAAAGTGCCACCTCAGTTTTGCAAATTTTCTTTATTCTGATTAACTAGCATTTTTGCTAAGATCAGCTAGATGGCCATACAACAGTGATAATGATGGTAATAGTAATGATAATAATTTTGATTATATAAATGAGTATTTTCACTTTAATTCTCTTGAGTATTATTATTTTTTCGACTCACCTTCATAACATAGAATCCAATAGTCAGATTTGTGGCGCCTTTACTCTTGTCCTTACGCCTGTCTTCTTGCATCAAAGCTATCATCGCTTGGCCCGACTCACCGTCCTTCACATCAAAGGCGTACTAAAAAGTAAATATTTCACAGTGTTGGTGAAGACTATCGAGATTTCTCTTTGTCAGTCTTCGTCGACGTAACTGTGTACATTTTGAATTGTTAACAGGGCGTTTGGAAATTTAGGACCATTTGGGTTTTCAAACTTACAATGCGGACACACTAAACGGGAATTTAAGATAAAAAACTTTAGCCAATAAGGAGAGAGCAAAATTAGTATCATATTGACCTTAGCCAATCACAATCTCTCATTCCCAAAGTTGTTGATAATATCTAAGTTTTTTTCCTCAAAGTATCTAGGCGTCGTTCCTTGCTCCTGATTCGTTCACATTTACACTTTTTTCTGTGAGTTAATATTTTTTCTGTACCTGCGGATTCTTGAGGAAGGAAGCCCTGTTCTGGACACAACCTCCTGCATTCTGTCCAGGCGTCCACTGATAATTGTGCTTATATACATGCCACTGCTTGAAGATAACATTAATTATCGACGGGTTGACCACGTGACAAAGCGTTGCATTGGTGAAATGCGAGCAGAAGTCCTCGAATGACATCCTGTTACGATTCAAATGAAACTTGACTTAAATAGATACATTTTAAAAATGCACGCAATGCAACAATGGTGACAACAGATCTAGACGTCATACGTGGTAGTCATAGCTACAACTGATATTAGAGCATAGCAATGGTAACGTTAGCCGGGAATTGACGTATTACTTGCGTTTAACTATGCACTTATAATACTCTAGATAAATGCTTAGCCAATAAAAATCCTTGGACAATGTAATTTTACGGTCACGGGTCGGCACGTCTGTAAAATGTTCTAAACATGGACCGATGAGTATTTCAAAAGCGAGGGTAGTGCAAGATGTAGTATGCCATCCTTCCTGGCCTTTTTCATGGCTCCCCTTTCATGATGAATATTGTTTCAGCCTCCTTCCCCCTCCCCTTTGAATAATGACTGGTTCCTCATACAAGAATAGGACGTTTGTATGATGGCGTCATTGATCTTTACTACCAGACTCCCTTGCACACTTTCTTTTGTTCAGTTAATTAGCACCAATTGTCTTACTATTCTCRTGAGGAAATACAAATTTAAATAAGAAAGAAAATTCGCCAAGCATTATGGTAGTGGGAGTCAAATGATGCATCATGCAAACGTAGTATTGCTCTTAAGAATCTCCCAGGTGGCTGCGCGCATATTAGTGATCATGCCAGATTCTGTATTAATCCTCCTCTCCTCCAATTGTAAACTACCCACACATTCGTTCAATAAGTACATAGAAAAGTACTCACCAGAATTCACCATCATTGTCAAAAATTATTCCCATTTTTTTCCTGTCATTTTCCTTCAACTTGTTCCACTCCTCAGATCTATAATCACAATATTTGATCAACAGTTACAATAAACAAGCTACGTGCAATTATAATAAGTCCATCTTTCATGTCCTCGCTAAAAATTGATTTAAAACGGTCCCAGTGATGAACCTTGAAGAAACCCAATGTTGATGCTTAGCCTCCTCCGAATGCATCTCTCTTGTCTCTTCTCTGCTTTCGAGTATTGGGCTTCCTGTGTCTTTAGGATGAGGCTAGTCTCTTTCAACAGGAATCCCAATTCGCGACACAGGAATCCCAATTCGTGACACAGGAATCCCAATTCAACAAAAAAGAGACGAAAGACGCCTGCGGAGGAGGCTAGTTGATGCTGATGATTGTAATTCTGATTTTTGATTCCCGTGGACCCAAAACCCTGGTTCCAGTGATTATGAAACTCTGGAGCAATCCCATGCTAGTGATTTTATTCCCCATTTCCCAAACCAAGTCATCAAATCTGATTTTCCATTCTATTTTAGAGACTGAAATAGTGTGCCTCTTTTTCCCTGATTTTAGTATTTTTCAGTGCAACAGCAATTACCCATCACTCCAGGCACCATTCCACTCCTTCTGTCCCCAGGGATTTCTCAGCCGGATCATGTGAAAATGCTGCTTGTTAAACAAACTCAATAGTCCCTCTCCAATGGTTACCTACAAAAAATAAAAACCACACTTTCAATAAAGCTCATGGGATCCCAGTGTTGTGAATTATGAATACCACAGGGAGCCCAACCTTCTTAACATCTGTTACTCCATAAGCATGACCTTTGACCAAGCCTGTCTCTAGCTTTTGCTCCATCTCATTGCGGTTGGTAATCTGAAAAAGTAAGTAGTAATGCATTCGGAATTTACAGCTTCTAACTCTCAATTTAACTCAAAGTTTAGGTAGGGGTTGCCCTCCCTCAGTATGTCCCTGGTAAAATCTTGATAAGGTAACTTAAATGCCACAGGTAGCCCAACACCACAGGTAAACCAACACCAAACTAACCTTAATAGATGCACTCATCAAGGACTGGTCTTTCATTCCTTTTTGCATGGTCTTGAAGAGTTGTTCTCTCTTCTCTGGGTCATTTGCATAACCTCCTTCTTTAAGGTTGACAGACTCCCCCACCCCACCGGTGAAGTCGACAAGAGCATCGCCTGTGTTGCCGGCCTCTAGTGCCTCGTATGTTCCTGCCATTCTGGAATATAAATGACAGACTGAGTAAGATACATGTACCATATGGAGTATGGGGAAAGAGGGGTAGGTGGGGCTGTTATCATATCATATACTATGGGTGATGACAATGTAAGTCATCAGTGACTTATTAATAAACCTTGGTTACATTTTTCAATTATAATTACAATCACGATGGTAGTTTGGATGTCAATGATAATAGTGGTGATAGTGGCAACAYTGGCATGATGATGGTGATGATGAAGATGATTATTATTATGGCAATGATGATGATGATGCCAGATGGTGATGATGATGATGATGGTTGTGGTGATGAAGAAAATGCTTTAGTGGTGTGATGATAACAATCTTGATAACATTAATGATGGAACATCAAATGATTCTGCTGAAATGATGATATATTTAGTGTTTGTAACAATGCTGCCATGATAGTGGCAATGGTGGATTTTTATGATGATGGTGGTGATGATGGTGGTAATGATGGTTATCATAATAATAATGATGATGATTGCAGAGTAATGAATAATTTTTTTCGAATGGCATCATATATTACCTAGATAACAGTCCTCCAATACTTACTTTGCATACGCCTTTTCAACCAAAGCACTCCAGAATTCATTCTTCTCCGTCGAGTGAATATAAACAAGCTCTCCATTGATGGTCGGCAACATGTCATCCACTACAACTTCTGTCCATTTCCCTTGCCTGTAGAACCTAAAGCGAAATATTCCTTTATAGTTGTCAGGATGTTGTGGGTCCCATTCTTGGTGCTTCTTGTCTGGAATCACCTAAAGAATATATATAATATTAGTAATATGATTAGCGTCACATACTCAGATTAGATCTATAAAAACACTGGAAATCATGGGAGGTTCTCAGGAATAAGCCATGAAATAACCAGTGACAACATATTAACCTAAAAAAAACAAAGAAACTTTTTGAGAATGTGTTGACACTAAGGACCGAAAAAAATCCATTTGATCATACAAGGCTTCCAAAATGAATGTAAAAAAAGGTCGAAGGTTTTTTAAACACTTTAAACTTCATTTTCTTCTTTTAAAACTAATTAAAATAAAATGGAAAGTAACATGAATTTCGCATGAATTCCAGGAGTGGGACCAAGATTATTGATGTGCCTAACTCCCGTCTCTCCCCTAGGAAAAGTATTGAGGGGAAGGAGATTAGCAGTAGAACTAAAGGTAGTAGGGAGAAGAACAAGATGAAATATCAGTATGAAAAAGTTATCATACATATTATACCTTATCGAGCAGTGATGGTCGCAGTGCCAGTGATGAGCAGGCGGCCACAAACCAACAGTTGCCTAGTTTTCCCTGCGTCACATCATGACTATCTGCACCACCGACAAAAAGCTTTGGTTCAAGAGGAGCACAAATATCCTGTACAACATATAATACAAAATGATTTATAACATATTATAATTACCATTTGAATGCAAAAGGAAAGATAAAATGAAGTCCATCAATTACAGTGCAACACACGAAAGTATGACCACAGTTAATGTGTGTGCATAGTTCTATGCACGGGTTCTTTACATTTAACTGGTTTTACCAAATAAGGCATGCAAACACTCGTTTGACAGGAAAAACCTGGTGCATGAAAAATACACAAGCACATTAAAAGGGGTCATACTTTTGTGCGTTGCACTGTAAAGCTGTCAAGAGAACCACTTGAGGAGGAAATGGAAAAATGGAAGGGAAATGTACACTCTTCCTTACACTTCATCCTGTATTATTCTAATAAAATTTGTAAAACATTTTACTAAAAAATAAAAAAATCCTTAGATTATTTTTTAGGGTTTCGAAATTATCATACTACAGTGGAAAAAAGGGCAGTTTATAAAATTTTTGATAAATAATGAATAAAGTTCATTTTTATGAGCAAAAGAACAATTAATAATTATTAGTCAGCTGAGTCATACCATACAAACCAATATTCAAATTGCTCTCACAACAGAAGTACTTTACAATTTACAACAATCTTAAAGCATTTAGAAAGCATATATGATCATTTAAGCGTTAAGTAATTGTCTCTTGGAGATAAATCCTGAATATTAAAATCCTTAAAAGAGAAAACTCGAAAAAGTAATTTAAATGTTCAGATATATAAATAAAAGAAAAATAAATAAATATAGATTAGCTTTTTAGGAGTTTAAGAAAAATCTAACACCAATTTTAGGTTTAAAATTTAACTCGTTAAAATGTATTGTTTTTCGAGAATTGAATATTTTTTGAATACTAAAAAGCTTAAAAACACCCCAAAACTACCTTTTCGAGGGACCAAGGAAACCTCGTTTGTGGCTCGCATAATATCTTAACTTTGGAAATTATTTAACTGACCGCTTTTTAAAAGCAACCATACAATCCATAGATCCAATCGAAAGGAAGATTAATATTGTGAATTAGCGTATTTACATTCTAACTCAAATATAACATGTAAAATATTAGAGTGAAACACGAAGTTATTTATTTCAAAGCGTGCGATAATCGTGACTTAAATTGAAGCGATATTTACAAATAAGCTTTTTTAAGTTTTAAAGCTGTTTTGATTAGGCTTTGAAAGCGATTTTTTTGTGCGTTGTTTTGTGCCCTAGTAGGTAGCCTACCTTAGGTCTCTTCCAGACGACCCGCTCAGCCACATTTGAACGACTAAAGAACAGTGACTGGGCTTCTGGAGGAAACTCCTTGTCAACGAACAAGCTTTGTTCTCTTTCACATTGGGACTTGAGATTGGAATACTTCTGATCCCGATAGTAATGAAGACGAACCATGGTTAGAGAGTCAAAGACTCAAGAACAGCACCAATATTTCGAATACCTTGCAGAACTTATGGGCGCATTCACGCGGATCATAGGAGCACACCTTCTCGAAGCCTCCAGCCGGAAGTAATTTAGTATTCTAATTTTTTTACTTCCGGTAGTGGAATAAAATAATACTAGTATCATTAAACCATATCTACTTCTGATAAATTGTGCCTTTTCTCTCGTTGAATCAATCAAATTTTAATTTGTAATATTAAAAGGAAAATTACTTATTTAATATTATTTTGATAATGAAGCTTTATAGTTATTCTAGGTAACCTCTACCATTCTCAAGGGCGGATCCAGGGTTTTTTGAAGAGAGGTCTCAGGGGTAAATTTTGTGGGCAAGGGAATCCCAGTCGCATTTTTACCACAGGAACAGGTCGCGACACCCCCGACCCTCCCCCTGGATCTATGGCGTTCCATCTCCGCCAAAATTGATGGTTTGTATTTGAAGTTCATCACATGAATTTTGCATTCGAGTAAATTTTTTTATGTTATCATCTTGTATTTCATATGCTTC